AGAATCATACCACAGTGATATATGTGCACCCATGTTCATAGCAGCACAATTTGTAATAGCTAAAACTTGGAAGCAGTCCAATTGCACATCAAGTGGAGACTGGATAAAGAAAATGTGGGTTTTTTTATAAAATGGAGTACTATGCAGCCATAAAAAATGAGAAATTAGACGGAGACATTTATAGCTAAATGGATGCACATTGAGGCGATACTCTTAAGTGAAATAAATAGGACATACGTGTAAATACTGAATAGTTTCTCTAGTGTGAGAAGCAAAGTGTAAATAAGAACTAAAAGGTATAATAGATAATGTGAAATAGGAAGAAAAGGGGCAAAGGGGAAGGGGAAGTGAGAGGGAATGGAAAGAAGGGAATAGAATTAATATGGGAAAATGAAAAAATGGAAACAAACTCTTTGTAAATAGGGAGGGATGGAGGGTTTGAAGGGAAGGCAGGGAATGTGGAAAAAATAAGAACCAAGAGAGATTATGTAAAGGTGCAAATTTTCAATGATGAATGTCATATTGTATACCTAAAATGTACCAATACAATTAATTTTTAAAAAAAGAGTAAGAATCTCATCTTAGCTCACAGTCTCATGATTTAGCCCAATGTCTGGCATATAACAGATGCTAAAAAAAATAATGTTAGAAAAAAATGAAAGAACAGTTTCAGGTTGCTTGATATCAACTTAATAAATTTTACAACTCTGATATGATCAATGTGTTTTATCTACCACTTTTATTTGTATGCCTCCTATTCCCATTTGCTTACTCATCCAAAAAAAAAAAAAAATCTTAAGAGTTTTTATGTATAAGCCATACAGATTATAATGATGAGTAATTCATGTTCTTTACTTTGAAGGATTTCACCATTTATCAAAGACAACCAATGCATGATAAAACAAGATGAACTCTTTACCACAAAAATTACTCAAATGCAAAGCCTTAAATCTAATTAAAATGCTAAAAGGAAGGGGAGGAGTGTGAGATCTCTGAACAAAAAAACAAAAAAACAAAAAACCTAAAACAGTCTAGTACATCTACCAAAAAGTAAAAATTAAATGAACTAAGCATTTCTTTTTCTTAGTGAAATCATGTTGACTCTTTGTGATCCTATCTTTCTTTTTCTAAATATTTACAATACATGCTTTAAAAGCAATACACCTATAAAAAATAATACGATGTATTTTTTTTACCAGGATACTATATCAAAATTAGCTTCTTTTGTAAGGTGAGCAATTAAAGACAAATCCATTCAAAAATATAATTACTTTGACTTGTTTTTAACCTTAATATTTACTATCGATTCAAACATTGTTAAAAAAAGAATGAGAATATTTAATGTTTATTAAAATGGATATAAATTGAAGAACACTGAGAATTTCTCCACCAGAGACCGGCAGAGTCCATATAGATGCAAAGGAGAACTTTTTAGTGGGTAGAGCGGCTAACCAAAGTGAAGTGGGTTGACTTGCAAATCAGGAAGCCCTCCACTAAATCTCTGAAGAGAGTCAATGGACCCTTTTTCTCAAAATCAGCAGAAAGTCCAGGAGGCCCCTTGGATTAGATCAGTTTCTCTCAAACTATGGAAAAGAAATACTTTTTAAAAAAATTTCCAATCTTTAGTGAACCAGTACTTTTAAATAATACAAACATACTACCCATTTGGATAGATATGAATTTCCAAATGTTTTGGATGAATGAGCAATTACATGGAAAAACTAATCAAGTGTCGATACATTCTTAGAGGTTACAGTAATCTGAAAAGATTGTCTTTCTTAAGTTAAAAATGTGATCTGAATAGAAACATAGGGAGCTAGTTCTTCATTAACTGAATAGACATAAAAGATTACATTAAGTCATGTAAATAAAAGAGACATTTGAAATAAATCCCTTTATTTTATAGATAATAAAACTGACATTTGAAGAGGTGTTCAAAGCCAGAATGCCAGCTGGAAGGCAGAAGCCAGAGAAAAATGCTGGCCTCCTGCTTGCTGGTCCATGCTCAACCCCAGTTGTCCACAAAGGGCCAGAAGAGAGGGCATTAGTAATCATAATAGAATCAATAATCCCACTTCTAATAAATATACTGTTCTCCAAGATGAATCAAGTAATTCTATAAACACTACTGGCTTACAAAGTAAGACAGACAAGAATTTTTAAATGAAACTATGTAAAAATACATATTCTCTTAAATACATTTTAGAATTTGCTTCCTTGGCAGCTGGCACAGTAAAAAAAATTGTCAATCATCTAAGAGATGTGAGTGCTTGACCCCACTGCAATCAATTAGAGCCAAGGGTATTCACTTGACCTGGAAAGGACAGAGGATGTCTAAGAGACAGAGGGCTTCAAGGAGGCACTTAAGCACATTTCTTTCTCAATTACTCAGTGCACAATGCAAAGTAAATTAGTTTAGTGGGTTTTTCATAGTAACTGTTGAAGCTGTTTAGAAATTTTAAGCAAAACCGTTCAAATTTTATTCTCTTGTTTATTCACACTAAAGAACAGCAAGTGCAAAAACCAACAGAGATCAGTGAAAAGAATTTTTATAGCAAGTAATTAAGTTGCGAAAACTGAAAAAGAATGCCTTATTTTGGTGTCAGAATGACTAGGAATCCAAAATTTTGTTTTTAATTTTTTCAAAATAATTCCAAAACTAAAACTCTATAAATAAGAATCTAAGAAAACCTGCATACCTCCCCCCCCTTGACTTCTCAAATACAGTGCAACTTTTTACCATCTGTTATTTTAAAGCAGAAACAGTAATGAACATATGGGCTTTCTCTATCAAGCAGCTGTAGTGTAGTTAAAGTTATAATAATTGTATTTCTGTAAGATAAATTTACATTAAAAGCTTGGCCAGTTAAAAACAAATGGCTCAGCCTCAGAGCCTTTCACAATAAAATTTTAAAAATTCAGAGCCATTTATGACATATTACATTAAGAAATGTAGAAGAAATCTTCTAAATACTGTGTTTTTATGTTTGAGGCTAAATAAATCAGTTTATTCCACTGAAAACTCATGTCTTCGCTCTTGATCAAAATGGTAGAAACATCAGACAACCAATTAACATCTTGAAAGGTGAGATGAATCCACTACATTAAGTCACTGAACTCCAATGTAAAGCCCAGTTATTCATTAGAAAAATCTCAACATATGTGACACATAAACGTCCACCTTGACTATATGCCATTTATACTGAGGTTAAGTAAATTGAAAGGAACTCACAACATATTTATATATTATGAAAAATACAAATTCTACCTACCTTTATCTGGGTGATTCAGAATCATGATTCTTCTGTGAGCTGTTCTAATCTTGGCTTTGTTGGCAGATGGGCTGTAAAAAGAAATTATAAAGTGCTTATAATAACAGTGCCAAATGCAGGTTATAAATTAACAATTTATATGGGTTTCAACAAATTAAAAACTAATGAGAATTTCACCATCTTGTGGACAAATACAAAATTACAGCTTTTCACTTAATTCCACTAACCATCAAAATAAATTATTGATTCAATGATACATTCATTGTGTTAATTCTTTAGTTCTTTCGAATATCAGTCGTTATTCTCAGTAAAAATAAAATGCATGCATGAGTTGGGAAAGTCATAGTATGCAGACTGTAAGTTTGAAAATTTATGCTTCTAAGTTGTTCTGGAGGAAGCTAGCATATATTGATTTAGCAGACAATTACCTGGAGTCCAGACCTAGACTGCTGGGTTTAAATTCCAACAATGCTATTGAGAGTTGGGTAACCTTGGTCAAATTTTTAACCTCTTTGTGTTCAGTTTCCTCGTCTCAAAACAGAGCTAGTGACATTTTCCTCATAGAGCAACTGTAAGAATGAAATGACTTCATGCCTTCAAAGTGCTAGAGCAGTGTCTGTCTCCATAGCACATGTTCCCCAATAGTTAGCTTTATTATCTTTGAACAGAGGATCTCAAAACCCCCTTTATCTCATAGTCCATTTTGCTTTGTGAGAAACGCTTGGCTGTTAGAGCCCATGCTGCATATTAAAATGAAAGGAGAAAGTCAAATAAACTTAAAATTATTTTTGTGAAACCTAATTTACTCAATATTGGAAATATTTACCATTAGTATATTTTCTAGGGATGGAAAAAATGAATGCTAACAACAAAACCATATTACTGCTACTTAATAGTACACTATCTTATCTAAGCTACTTAATTTTTCTGGGCCTTAAATGGAGATAATAATACCTGGGTTAAAGTACGGGACAGTTGTTATGATGCTCAAAAATGCTGTAATATATAGATGCATCACACTGTGATGGCTAAAAACACGTATTTTAAAAATTAGGTTGAAATTCCTAATTCTAACACTCATTAGCTATGAAACTTTGTCTTGCATATTAAACACTATAACTTTAGGGCTGGGGATTTAGCTCAGTGGTTCTGGCACCTGCCTCGCAAGAGCAAGGTCCTGAGTTCGATCCCCAGTACCAAAAAAACAAAACAAAACAAAAAAAACACTATAACTTTCTCACATGTAAAATGCACAAAATAAAATCTACCTCCCATGGTTACATTGCAGATAAATTAGGTAATATAAGTAAAACGATAAGCATGATCAGGCTGTATGATGGATAGGAAAGATGCTTATAAAAATAAATATTTTGTACTTTAAAAAAACAAAGAGTATAAATAACCTAATTTTACATTTTCTGAGCAATTCAGATACATTATCGCAACTATCAATTTAACGCAAAGTAACTCTCAAGGTCTGCACAGGTTGGCTTGCCCTTTTTCTACGTGGGCCCAGAATACCATCTAACATGTTCTGTTTTCAGTCTCCCTCTCTTGCTATCAGTTGTCAACCTGTGATTCTGCTAGTGTTCCATTCTCTCAGTTTCTTCCCAGTTACTTGCCACCTCTAACTTCCTGCAGGTAAGTAACAGATTACCATGCATATTAAAATGTGCTATTAATTGCTTGAATAGCACATAAAATATTCTTCTACAAATAAAATGAGTCTTTCCATGTAAGCTCTTAAGGATATTACTTTTGGCTGTTTATTGAAGTCTTCTGGAGGACCATTTCAAACTTACTTTTTGGCTTGTAGGTGCCTCCTGGATAGTCAGACACTGATTTCAAAAACTCCTAAATTCTGAGGAAGTAACTATTACACATAGTATTAGGGCTATAAGCACTATATTGTTTGTCATTAAAAGCACATTACCCTAAAATTCTAGTATAATTTAGTTTCCTGTGGCTAATCTACATTTATCATTTGCTTTTTTGGTGATGCCTAACACCTCTCTCCTTTATTATTTATGTTTTCTAGTTGTTCTGTATATATTTGACATGTCACCTTAAGTGGATTCTAAATTACTTAAAGGCCGAAGCTGTGATCTGTATCTTAAAATAATATTTAGGATTATATACGCAATGGCTGTTTAATGTATCTCATACCACCTTCCCACAAAAAAATAATTGGAAAAGGGCAAACTTCTTGAAAGAACAAAAGCTCTATTATTACCAAATAGTAACACTATAGCATTATAAAAAAAAAAATCTATTGTTCAGCATGATGGTGAACATCTATAATCCTAGCACTCTGGGAGGCTGAGGCAGGAGGATCCTGAGTTTGACCCCAGCAATTTAGACTTAGTGAGACCCCGTCTCAAAGTTTAATAAAAGGGCTAGGGATTGCAGGCTCAGTGCAAGAATCCTGGGTTACAAGAGTGCCAATAACTAACTAATTAAATAAATAAATGACTATTAAAATAGAAAAATTATAAAGTTAAAAGGGAAGATATAAAAACCTTATTTTGTAAAGCTAATCACTAGATCATGAAGATATAAATTCAACAAAACTGAAACTTCTACTGTACATTTTTTTAGGATATATGGAATGTTATTCTGGGTATTAAGTTTTAATTATAAAATATGAAAATCATTTCAGTCACAATTATCCTTGAAAATCAATTATATTACCTATAAAAAAAGTATACACGGCTTTGTATATAAAAAATCCATAAAGTATAATGTATATTGAGATCTGCCAATAATCAAACTAGATTAAAAAACACAAGGAAAGTTCATGTGCACAAGTATGGCAATTCAAAACATTATATCTTTAAGATAATAATTATTAGACTCTTAATGGTGAGCTTTGAGAAGAAGAGAAGTATTCTCATTTGCCTGCAGGGGTTATTTCCTTTTTCTTATAGCTATATTAAATCTCTACATCTATATCAGATTTTAATATATTTGTTGCTCTGAAGCTTAAAGATGGGAGAAACTTAGTAGAAAAATTAAACATAACTGTGACATACCTCCAGTATATAACATTACTGAAATTGAAACTGTAACTTGAAATATCAACTATAATTGGATCAAGGATTTCAGACTGTGCTCCCTAGAATATATTTGGCTGGTAATTGCGAAGTAGGGTATATGGAACTGAGTGGTGTTCCCCAATCTTGTAGCAAATGGAGAAGTTTTAGTTTCATCTTCTTTAACCACTGGGCTTTTAAATACTTAAGTTTAAACAGAATTCCATAGGAATTTTTAGAAAGCTTGAAAATCACAGATGTATATCACTTTAGATAATACCAGGTATAATAGTTTTCTTGGGACGTACAATAAATTATTTTAGGCTTTTTGTAACAGATATGAGTTATAGTGCAGAAAACTATTCTTTTGCAAGGCAAACAAAACAAAGACAATCATGCATCTTACCAAAGAAACATCATTAAATGTAACAGGTAAGAATATACAGAATCTTCTAGTAACACTTTTTTCTAACAGACTATCAAAAGAATTGGCTCAATTTTATTTTTACTTGTTACATAGCCTACATAATTTAATGACCACAGAAAATGGAACCACACCAATGCATTCACATCTTGAAATACATTATCTTTATCAATGCTGCCGACTGAGAGAATGAGGTAGAGGAAAGCAGGTAAATTTCACCTTTTCATCTAATGTATGAGGGCAAATATTTAATTTCTACATTCATGATAGAGATGGGAAAAGAGAGGAGCCAACAATTATTCAGCACTTGGCAACTGGTAAGCCCTTATATAAAAAGATATCAGGGGGCTGGGGATTTAGCTCAGAGGTTTCGCTGCCTGCTGCACAAGCGCAAGGACACGAGTTTGATCCCCAGTACCAATAAAAAAAAAAAAAATATATCAGGGCCGGGGATTTAGCTCAGTGGTTCCGGCGCCTGCCTCGCAAGCACAAGGTCCCAAGTTTGATCCCCAGTACCAAAAAAAAAAAAAAAGTAAAAATAAATAAATAAATAAATAAATAAGATATCAGTGTATCATTCTTACATTAACAGGACAAATATTCTAATTCAAAAATGAAGAAGGTGAGGTACATAAAAGCTAGAACTAACTTGAGCCAGATCACCTAATGCAGTTCCTAAGTAGCAGAATCAGGATAAGGATATATTGTTGATATTTATTAAGTAGACACTAAGTGCCATGTTTGGGGTTAAGCATTTCCTATGCATTATAGCAGAAGCTAATAGGGTAGTAAAACTAGTATTCCTACCCAGATCCACTTGCCATCAGAGTTTGTGCTCTTTTTTGTTTGTTTGTTTTTTGGAGAAGGGTCTTGCTATGTAGCCCATGCTGGCCTTGAACTGACAGCAATACTTGTGCCTCAGCCTCCCAAGTGCTGGGATTACAGCCATGCACCACCATGGCTGGCAGAGTGTGTGCTCTTAATTCACTGAATTTTCCTTGTGAATTTTGTACAGCATTCGGGTGAAGTGGATGAAACTTTATATCATGTATCTTAAGAGAACTAAAACATATAATCAACTCCTAGTTGTATGTCATAATAATAGAGGTGCCTTGGATAACATTGATTATCCTTTAAGCCTTTATGTTTGGATTTATAATGTATTTCATACTCACATTTCAAGACTATAAACAGGATATTATGAGAGGCCAACAATAAGAAAAATAAGTGCCATTCTAAATAATATTAAATAAGAAATAGCAATATAGCTAACTTTTTGGTTGTTTTTTTTTTTTGGTACCGGAGATCGAACTCAGGTCCTTGCGCTTGCGCAGCAGGCGGCAAAACCACTGAGCTAAATCCCTGGCCCTATCTTTTTAATCTGGTTTCCTTGCTTAGTGTTACCCTTTACTATTCTCTGATAAGAACTCTGTCCTGTTAGATTTAAATAAAGCACCAAGATAAACTGCCAACTGGTAGGCACACTTTTTTCTTTATCTTTTTCATGACAGGTCATAAAAAATAAAATATTTGGCTTAAAAACATGCTGATTTGCATGAAGTTAAAATACTTTCTGTCAATATAGGACTTTATTAAATCTATTCTGCTTAATTATGTTTGTTAAATCACTGAAAGATTTGTTGTAGATGACATACTGTAACCAATTTCCTCACTAACTTGAGAATTAAGGGAATATAAGGAAAACAAATGAATACAATTGCTAGTAAATTTATGGCAGGGGAAAATATGTCTAATTTTAAGGGTTAAATAAATCACACAGCAATAACACAGGATTGCAACACTATGAACTTTCCAAAATTAGATAATAAATGAATACTAAGGTGAAATAAGTAAAATAAATGTCAAATTGAAATAGAAAACAATCTTATAGTATATATATTATACATTATATATTATACATATTATATATTATACTATATATAATACATTTACGTGTGTGTATGTATGTGTGTGTGTATATGTATATATATATATATATGTGTGTATATATATATATATATATATACGTAAAACTGAGCCCAGAGAGAATTCAGTATCACAATAAGGGATTCAATGATTGATTGATATAGACTGACATGAAACTATGTACTCAAAGACAACAGTTTCTTGTTAAAGAAAATCACAACTTTACCTATTTTTTTTTTTTTTAGGACAGAGTTGCTCTCTTAGATCTGAAATTTTAAAAAGCAAAAATTTGATATCTTGGGCCAGGGATTTAGCTCAGTGGTTCCGCCGCCTGCCTTGCAAGTGCAAGGACCCAAGTTTGATCCCCTGTACCAAAAAAAAGAAAAAAAAATTTGATATCTTATCTGCTTCCCACTTATAATATTAAATATAAGTATAGAAGTTTATTGTTATGTACTTTTTAAAAAACATTTCTTTTCCTTTTGCAAGACAAGCTTGGCCACAAAACAAAATTACTTAGGCAGCATACCTACCTTATACCTAAAATAAGACTAGCTTCTCGCCGACTCATTTTCTGTTCAAATCCTCCTTTATAATAGGATGACAGGTTCTGTACCAGAAAGAAAGTGCAGGAAATAATTAGTTGCACGCATGAGGTGGCATGACCTCAATCTCATCCCATAGCTGCAGTAAGAGAAATGCATTTTACTGGAAATTATATGAGGGGGAAGCACCAAACAAAGATCCTTCTCAAGAAACTCTAACCAAGATGAACATCAAAAAACTAACAATTTTTTCACTTTAAACACATTAACTTTTCTACATTGAGATACAAAAGAAAGAACAGAAGATTGGTTGGAATAAAATGCCAACTTTTCTAAGTTTTGGGGTGCTTTTCTCAATGGATAACCTTGACTAAGTCATTTATATTGATATGACATACATTTTTTACTATTATTTTGGTCAACAAAGAAATGCCAAATTGCCATTTATTGTCTTACTTTACAGCAAACAAGTAAGCCAAGAGGGACAGGGAAACTGTACTGAATGGTTAATGGGGCTGGAGAAGTTTGAACTAGGAGAAGAGGAGGTTTAGAAAGGTAGTGGAGGCTGAGTGAGAAGGGCCTTGTAAGCAACGAGAGAATTTTATTCTAAGAGGGAAGCCAGAGCACTGAAGTAACACAATCTGACTTTGCTTTGAAAGGATTACTCTGACTTTGGTGTGTAGAATAGAGGCAGAGGCTGGAGAATCACAAATTCAATCCCAGCCTGGGCAATTTATTGAAAGACCCTATTAGTACAGATATAACACTGGGATTGAGGAATCTACTCCCCTCCACCCATCTGAGCTCAGGTGCCACCCTATGAACATTCTATATAACCAAAGCACATGCAGCCCTTGCTTTCTCTTGAGCCCAAAAGCTTGATTTAGCCACACGATGTGCAGTGTTCCTTTTCTGTCATTCCAGCACCATTTCTCCATTCATGACCATCAGTAAATGTAGTTGCTCTTTCCCTCACCATTGATTGAGTGCATGCTTTGCAAATTCATCTGTTGATCCACCACATGGTTATACTATCACAAAATTATAAATGATGTGGAGGACACTGTTGTGCGCTGTCCAGATTTCTGTTCAGGAGTGAAGGGCTTGGTCCTCAGAAGCTGGCATACAGGTCTCAGCTCTCTACTTAGGAACTGCCTCGCTTCAAGAAAGTCAAGCTCGTGCATCCTTCCTAGAGCAGCATCTCTCTAATGACTGGTTGACATTGGGGTATAAATGCGTTTCTATAAGGTTCAGTTCTTGGACTTTTATCTATACTCACTTCCCAGGTGATGTCGTTTAATCTCATGGTCCCTTACCAACATGGGATAACCACAGTGAGCCATCTTAGCTTCAGATGTCCCATGAGCCTGGACTTTGTTAAGATTGCCCTGTAGCCTGACCTGTTCTTCCACCCTTCATTTTGTTTCTTTCTGGAGCTGCTGATCTAAGAGCACTCCCTAATAAGCCTATAGCTCACTAATCTTTGGATCAGTCTGCTTCAGGCTGGCTTGATCCTACAGCTCAGCCTCCTTAGTGCAGAGATTACAGTGCATGCTACCACGCCCAGCTGAATCTGCATCACTGAATGATATGGAAATGGAGAGAAATCAGTAAGAGGTTATAAGACCCAGCAGTGACAGGAAAACTAAGGGCCAAAAGAGAGGAAATGAAAAATGGTTTTGAATGCTTAAAGCAAAATTCGAGCTAAGAATTGATTTCTGGATTTAACAGAGGAGGTCAAAGACTCTGACAAGAGCTGCAGGGGTAGGGGATATAAGTTTAAGACAGAAATGGGAGGAGAGAAATGGACACAGCAAGTAAGAACAAATATTTTCAGGAATTTCTATAAACTAAATAGGATGTATTAACTAAGCTTTTAGAAGCTATGCCTATATAATTACACATACGTGTTTCTAATACATGAAGCTATATATTTTTTAAGAAAAATTAAGTAAGCAGAATCATCCCTCAGTATCCATGATAGCCCCCTCAATGATATCAAAATGTTCAGATACCAAGTTCCTTATATAAAATGGCATAGTATTTGTATATAACCTACATGCATCCTCCCATATAACTTAAATCACCTCTAGAACAGATATAATACCTAACAAAATATAAATGCCATGTAAATAGTTATATTGTATTGTTTAGGGAATAATCACAAGAGAAAAAATTTTTGTACTTATTCAGTGCAATTTTAGTATATGTGCTGCTGAAGTGAGTGTACTTGTTCAATATAGATGCCACTTTTTTCCCAAATATTTCTGATCTCCAGTTGGTTGAATCTACAGATGTACAACTGCATATGGAGGGCTTACTGTATCTATTGGCATAAAATAAAATCTCATATAAAGTATATATCAAGTGTTATTTTTGGGTGATGGGATTATGAATAATTTTTCTTTTAAAAAAAGTGTTCTAAATCTTCAACAATGAACACACATTACTTACACAGTTTTTAAAAGAGGAATAAATAAGAGTAAACAGAGTCCCCTGGAGTTAGATCTGGCCATTAATATAAACTGTTTTAACAGACTGTTACAAATTTCTACTTAATAATTCTTGTAAATTAATTCATTCAACAAACACCTTAGTAATAACTATATGTAAGGCACTTTTCAAGTGAGATAGGTTAAAGTCTGTCCTTCATCACACAAATACTAATTCATGGAATATAATATACTATTCTAAGTTTCAAGTAATTTACAATACAGTATGAAAACAAAACAAATATTCCTCTGTCCCCTACATAAGTTTTGAGGGAAGAAGGGAATCAAACTGGCTAAATATACACACTAACCTGGACAAATTTTATATCTTTCTAAACAGGTAAATATACAGAGAGACAGACAGACTGGAAAGCTAGGGCTGGAAAGGAATGGAAGACTTATCAGAGCAGCAGGTGGCTTTAAAGTCTCTAGGAGACCACAATCTTTACTAAATGTAAACCTTGCTCCCTAAATAAAAGATGATTTTTTATTTACCTATGGCAAAAACAGCAGTACTACCAACTTGATGCACTGCAGTCATTTCTACAGGTGTACATTTATTCTTATTTTTGTTTGAAAATCATGGTCAAGACATGGCATAGAGTAACACTTTATTCAGGAAAAAAAATTTTTCAGAATATTTACCTTAGGGAGCTCCACAATTTTGAGTCACCAAAATAAAGAAGATAAATTGATGATTATGACCTAAACTGTCATTTTCAACAGTCACAAAGCCATTCGCTCTAAAAGTAAGTATTGGTATCCAAGCAATTTGAAAGAAAAATTTAGTTTTGCAGAGGTAGAAAAGGAATCTCAGAGAAAGTTCCTTAAAATCTAGTGTATGGAGGAAGTTTGTATCCTAGGCCACTGACTTTATTTCAAGTAAGTCAATTTTTACACAAATAATTATCACAACACTTCTAAAAGAACTAGATCCTAAGTTTGATTCCTGATACCAAAAAAAAAAATCATTTTTTTACAAATTTTATTGGTACACTTTTGATATAATGATCACATTCATCATAGGGATCATATTCATCATTATGTACCTGCACATAATATATCATGATTCTTCTCCCCATTACCCTTGTTGGAAATAAGCCCTCAGACTCAATTTGTCCGTGCAGATAATAAAGCACTTAGACATCAAGAAATCTCAACAAGGCACTTTACTTCTGCAGAAGGGTGCAAGCATGAGGTAGTAGGTGCGCAGGACAAAGCAGGGCTGCCCCTTTTATCCCTAACATAGGAGAAGCAGCTGATTTTTAAATTTATTGGCAGAATTCACAGGCTTACAATCTAACGCAGCTGACTAATTCAAGTGGCGTGGCGGGGGTGGTTTGCTGAGAGATTTAGAGATGGGGAGTGTGGTTTGGAATGAAAAGTTGTTTATCTTGGAAACTTGCTGTGTTCTGGAAAAAGGTACATAGTTACCATTTATTAGAGCTAGGGATATTAATGGGGGTGGGGGGTAGTGAGTAGATGGCCAGGTCATTTAAACCCAAAATGGAGATGCTTTGACAGAAAAGACAAAGCCTGTTTCTCTCACTCTCTCCTCTCTTCAACCTTTCTTTCTCTCCCCATTTACAAAGGTCTTGCTTCCATTTTTTTCCCTTCTATTCTTTTTTACCTTTTTCCTTCCCCCTCCCTGTTCCCCTTCCCATTTGAACATTTTCTTCCTACTTCCCAATATCTATCATCCCTTTTGGTCCTTATTTATTCTTTGGGTTTCACACACAAAGAAACAATGGGACAATATTTAAACATGTATGTCCAATTTGTTTCACTTAAAATTATGTTCTCTAGGTGCATCCTTTACCTGAAAATGTCTCAAGTTTATACTTCTTTATGGCAGTGTATATAAAAACCACATTTTCTTTTCTTTCTTTTTTTTTTTTACTTAAATTCTTTTATTGGTACATTTTAGGTATACAATA